AACTTTTAAAAACTTTTAAAAACTTTTAAAAACTTTTAAAAACTTTTTAAAAACTTTTTAAAACTTTAAATTCAGTTTTTGAACAGATATCTTGTAATTTTCAACTATAAAATCTGCATGGTGAAATGATGGTTCCTGCAAATATAGCATCTAATTGGCGGCTGAGGGCAGCCCTGGGGATGAGATAATTCCTTCACAGGACTTAAGGGAAAGGGCATGTGGCCCAGGGCAGGTTTTATGTCACAAGCAGCCTTATCTTCCACTATTTTTCTTAGTCCCACAGAATAGCTACTTCATGGTATATTGTCCTCAAGCATTAATCTGTCTAATCAAATGCCAAGGAACCCCAAGACTTCCGTATTTCCTAACATCTGGGAAAACCACATTTTGACAGGAAAGAGGTGATTTTTGCCCGAGGTTTAGCCTTCCCTCAACCTCAGATTGTGAAGTGGAGAACACAGTTTGGAATTGGCAGCTTCATTGCAACCATTCATTAATAAAATGTTGTTTAATACTGCAGGTGACTAAATGAGCATGTGTATTGTGAGTGAGCTTGTATGGCATTCTTCACATTCTTCAATTATGTGATTAAATTCTTTTCAAAGCAAACATCCTCAGGTCACCTACTGAGAATTAAAGACTGACTTCCAAGTAAAAAAACACCCAAATATTTTTATAGCACATCACATGTCATACAGCCACATCCTGATTTCAAGCTTCCCACATGCATGGGGTCTGTTTATCCTAGAATGCTTCAATTAGATAGTTTTTTATTATTATTCTAATGGATAAACTGTATCTAAAGAATTTCAAAGAGTAAATCTACCATCCAGTGAAAATCTTATGTTTGTGAAAGCCTTGGAAAGCCTCCATAGTCTATGCACTTCTGTGACTTTGTGGCTGTTGAGAGAAGCTGTAGAAATGCCATATTAATTTTTTCCCCTGAACAGTTTTTTTATAATATATATTCCGTAATACTCTTTTTAGTGCATACAGTTTGATATCGAATGTGGGTAATTGTGACAGTTCACATTCTAAGCTAGTATTTCTTAAAATATGGTCCAAAGATCCCTGGGGGTTTTGCAAGACCTTCAGGGGCCTGCAAAAATCAAAAATATTTGTCATATATTGAATAGATTTGCATTTTACAAACATGTTCACTTTTCTCATTTTTTGTTAAAAAATATTTTTTTTTCATGAAAAATATGCTAATAGCTGGTGTGTTTAATATTGTTGTTTTTTACACGAGGACCCAGATTGTTGGGGGCAATATGCTAATTCTGTAAACCATGTAAAGCCTTGTATATGTCTGAGTGCTATTGGTATGAGAGTCAATATTCTTATGAATGCATGTTTTAATTTTGAATATTGATAGAAATGATCCGTACAGACAAAAGCTCTTTTGGGGTCCTCCATTATTTCTAAAAGTGGGCATTTAAGTAAGACTATTCTAAGCATTCTGAATGAGTGCTGGTGGTTGAATGAAGTCCACAAATGGATCCATTAATCTGTTTATAACCCGCTTTCTGGCTTTATTCAAACCCCTAATGAAGCTGAACATATTGCTCTTTCGGAGGTACATCCCATTAAATGTAATAAAACATAAGATGCAAAAAGAATGTTAGCAGGGTGGGGAGTTATTGCATTTACTCTTTGTATATTGGATTTTTTTTAAAAAAAATTGTAAGTTGCCTAGGGTCACTGAAAGTGTAAATTGTCTAATAAATTCTCTAAATAAGTAAATAAACACAACTATTAGATCCGTGTAGGAGATTGGGTGTAGGGGACTGCACTAGACGCGTGCTTTGAAACGTAAAGTCAATCCTTTTTTTAAAAAAAATGACGTCATTTTGCTCCCACTTTCGTATCCTTCCTCCAAACGGGATATAACACCCTCTCCATCATTCAATGCAACGTAAGCGCAAGCATCCGCCCGCGACAAAGATGGCCGGTTTCCCTGCCGGCTTTCCCTCTGTCGGAGGGGCGGGGCGAAGAAGCCATGCCCGCGACATACATGGCGGACGACCCCCGCCCCCCTTCGCGAGAACGTGTAAAACGACGTGGGAGTGTAGGCTAAGATGGCGGTTGAACGGCGCGCGCATGCGCCCTGAGAGGAGTTGGGGCGGAATAACGTGAACGGGCCGAGGAGGTGGAAGACGTCCTTCGGTCGGCCGAGAGAGGAGACCAGGTGACGGGGGCGCTTTCCGTAAGGGCGACGTGAACGGGAAGGGGGAGACAGTGCCGAAGCTTTTGCGGATGGCCCGCAATGCGGGGAGGGGTGTGGGGGGGGGGTTCGACTGGCATTCCTTGGTGCTTCTCCTGGTGGCCTCCACTCCTTTCTTTAGCTCAGAAGAGGACCCTGGACCTTCCCGGCGCGTGTGGTGACGGGTCCCATTCTCCACAGCGCCCTTCTTGAGGGGTGGGACCATTGCACCCCACTTCCACTGGTACCCTGGGGGGGGGGTTGGGGACAATGGGATCTTTAGTCCCTGGTAAAGACCACAGGACTGATGGAAATGTGTGGGGAAGGGCGTTGGCTCCACACCTGGGAATGGTGCCAGCCCAGCTCGGGGGTGGGTGGGTGGGTGGGCTGCCTCCTGTTCCACAACTACAAACCCCATCATCCACAGCCCACATGGGGTACCTACCCCTCGGAAAGGTGCATGTGGAGAATGGAGACCCATCGTCCTACACATCCGTGGTTGGCAACGGAGAAGTTTTGTCTTGTTTGAAGGGTGTTTTTTTCTTTTTTCCCAGCCAACTCTTCTTCTTCTCTTCGGCAGGTCCTGCAAGATGTCCGAAGGAACGTCCAGTGGCGATCCGGAGAGTGCCCGGCCCTCAGTTGCTGCTGCTCGAGGGTTAATAGGGAGAAGGACTCCCGTGCCAATCTCGGCAGGCCGCCTGCCCTCCATCCGCTCCCGAGATCTGACCCTTGGTGGGGTCAAAAAGGCAAGGGTCCCTTGCTAAGGAAGTATCTTGCAGCAGCATTTTTAATTCCTAGTTAGTCCAGTTAGTTAGTTTGTTTGGTATGGTGGTGAACACGCCAAGCCAAGAAACAGAGACCGTGAGTTCTAGTCTTGCTTAGGCACAAACCCAGCTGGATCATCTTGGGCCAGCCCCTCTCTCTCAGTCTTAGGAAAGAGGCCGTGGCAAAACTGCCAAGAAAATTACATGGACCGGCAATTGCCAGGAGTTGACACCCAAAAACACACATTCACACAATAGGACAAATTAAGGCTGCCTCGTTCATGGGCTGGACTTACTGTGCCTCCTTAGAAATTGTATAGGTTACAATTCACTTGTTTAGCGACCATTCAGAATTACAACAGCACTGGAAAAAGTGACCTCCCCCCCCCCCCCGCCTTTTTTTTCACATTTGCAACTGTTGCAGCATCCCCATGGTCACATGACCAAAATTTGGGTGCTGGTTTGCATTCATGGAGTTAGAACATTGAGTTAGAAGACTATTGAGAGGTGGACAGCTCAGCAGTTCAAAACCAGAGAGCTAGCGGTGTGATGGGATGAGCTCCTGTCAATTTGTCCCAACGTGGGCCCACCTGGCAGTTCGAAAGTATGCATACTAGGGACATGGAAGAAGCTTTCTCAAGCATCCCCTGGAAGATGGTGATGTCACCAGCTAGTCCATTCAACCCGGAAGTGCCTTGGTAGGCACTTCTGACATTAACATGGTAGTAGCAACAGTTATTTTGGACTCAATTGTGGTGATGTCAAGGGCTACCTATATAGACTCAGGATAGGGGTGGCAATTGTGGGAGCTGCATAGAACATTGGGGGTTAAAGGGTGCAGTGCATGGTACAGTGTTGAAAAGTAAGTAGGGCGAAATCACATAGGCAAACAAACCAAGGTTTTCTCCCCTTTCTTCCCTCCCCGGTTGGAGGTAGAATTTTAAGACTCCTTTCATCTAACCATTGCAAACTTGAGGCTGCACTATAACATTCGTGTTTTTCTTTCGAAATGGTAAACAATGTGTTGATATGGTTTTTTTTTTCAGAAGTTTAAAAGTGCATGGATTGTATGTGCACTAAATCTTCTTTGAGATATGAGCTTCTTATGTTTTCTATATTTTCCAAGCTTATTTCTGAAGTTGAAAACAGTTCCAGTCCCTCCCGCTTTGCTCTTTTTACTGCATGTTTTGTCCCCAGTAGAGGTGAAGTATTGCCTGTGTGGAACTCTTCTAATGTTTTGGTTCTTCTGCGGAATCATCAGTTGAGACAGCATTTCTGCATCATTCCTTGTTCCAGGCCTCATGTGACATGAGAGTTGATGAGTTACTTAGCCCAGAGAGACAATTGTCACCAAATCTCCATTCAGTAAAATACTAGCATATTAAAACCTAACATGCTGACTTTTAATTGCAAGATAAGGCCACTTCTTTTCAAGAAAAGCAGGATCTCTTTATTTCTAAATATTTGGCACAGATGCTTATCTGCATGAGCATAGATTGCTCTAGTTGGCAAAACCACTTTTGGTCATTATTAAGGTAAAAGAGCCGTGAGCCGTGAGGAATACTAAATCATGAGAGATGGGAGATTGCTGACCTTGGAGTTTTAATTCATTAAACATTGATCTCGTTCAGTTTGGTAGCAGCGATATCTATTAACTTTTAAAAAATCAGAAACAGGCTATTCTCTGGATTCTAAATGTTCCTTTTGTTGCTTTGAATTGGTTATGCAATAACCAAGCTATCTGGTGGATTGTGAAGTGGTTGGTTATGTCAAGGGTATTTGACTCTATATGTAAACACCACATTTTTGTGATATGGAGTAGTCAGTTTTACTTGAGGTCTTCTGATGCTGGTATTCAAATATTTCGAGATATTGGCATTTGTTTTGGAAAGAGAACAAAGAGAACACGTCAGTTTTGATTAAGCTGAAGGCATACCTTGAAGCCAAGAGCTTAGGACTGTAATGATAAGGAATACAAAATATTTGTGGCTCCTAAACATTGAAACATTTTTTAAAAAAATATTTTTATTGTGCATTTTCCCCTAACATTAAAAGAAGTATCTTCTCCAAGCAATGCAACTTGTGAAGAATGCTAAACATATTCTCTTCCCAAGAATCTTAAGTATATTTATGTATCTTATTGTTGTGTCTAGTGTCACATCAAAATGAGATGGGTAGCTGTATAAATCAAATCAAATATTGGAATTTCAATTTTAGCACACTCTGTACTCTGAAGTATGTCACAAGCAAAACATTGTGCCTAATTATGCTTGTTCTCTTGTCTCCTTTTTTTTTTTTTTAGAAAACCTTTGCCCCTAACATTATTAGCAGGAAAATCAAAGAAGAGTAAGTTCCCTTTCAATGCTATTTTCATGGAATGTATTAATATAAATGAACTGCTTAATTATCAATAAATGATCATTTAGAAGATCTGTCTAAATGGGAGATTTCAGCCTTAGCCTAAAGTTATCCTATGAACGCATGTTCAGGTTTATAATGCTTGTTAGATCTCAGCTACTCTAAAGCCTTCCCTTGTGTACCACTTCCTGAGATGCTATATTTTAACATTATTTGGACTGTTAATGAAACCTATACCTTTGCACTATTTGGGCAATTTCTTAAGTTGTTAGTTGGAGAAAAATTAGTAGTTTAAAATCTTTAAAATCTTACTGCCCTTACCAAAGCATAGTTCCTGCACTGTGCTTATCTGCTGTCTTATTTAATCTCTTTGGATAATATAGTTGTAGCTTTTTATGCGTGGATGGGGTGGGGGGGTAGGTACTGTAGTGTGTTTCTCATTTGCCCAAGAAATCAGTTGTTAATAAGCAGTTAAAACTACGTGGTGATATTGTGGAAAGTTACAGACCTTTAGAATGCTTGAGTCTTTTTTCAGAAGTTTCAGAAGTTGTTTTTGTTGATCTTTTCATATATATAGTTTCTTTCTTTTTCCTTTCCTTATTCCACCCCTCTCCCCCTCAGTCACATGCAACTTTCAGCTATCTATTCCCAACCATTCTCCCTGCTCTCTGACCCCTCTTTATTAGCAGAACACATATAAACCTTTTGGTCACAACCTCCATCTTCAGTATGAAATTCTGTCATGGGAAGCCCTATCCTTTGTTCTTCTTGCATGTCTGAAAGAGGTTCAGCCACGAAGTCCTTATAAAGCTACTGATGAAAAGGGCCTTCTGAATATTTTGGAACCTTTAAGTCGGGGATCCCCAAACTTGGCAACTTTTAAGCTTTGTGCACTTTAACTCCCAGAATTCTATGCAATGCTTGGCTGGAGAATTTTGAGAGTTGAAGTTCACAAGTCTTAAAAGTTGCCAAGTTTTGAGACCTCTGCTTTAAGTCCTCAAGACAGAGATCTGCAGCTCTCATCGAGCAATTGAATACTTCTGCTCTGTTTTTTTTTTTTTTCCTCCCCTCTCTTTAGGCCCAAGGAGGACCTTTCTGTCACAAAAGAGAAGAAGGACCGTGATCGAGATCGACAGAGGGAAAGTCATGGACGAAGCAGAGGGAGGCCCGAAGTTATTCAGTCGCACTCCATCTTCGAGCAAGGCCCAGCAGAAATGATGAGGAAGAAAGGTTTGGAAATGATTAAGTTGGGGCATTCCAGAGGAGGGCAACTGTTTGGGCTTTTTAATGTTCACTGTGAACTCAATCAAGCTTTCCCCGAGACTCTTAGCCCGCTGGTTCCCACCCATTCAGCCATTACGGTACTGCAGGGTGGATCACGGTAGACTTGTGAAATAGGATGGGATAAATTAGTAAAATTGGAGTGTGTTGTAGCTGAGCTTTTAAGTAAGCTGTGATAAAGTACTTAGTGCATCCTGAGGGTTGGTGTAGAAATCCTCATCATCCAAACTGGTTGGGCAAGTCCATCAGAGAAGGCAGTTTTTCAGTGTGGGGTATTTGGAGTGAAGTGGACAAGATTCTGACATCAACTCTTGACACCTATAGATTGGATTCCTATTTTTCTGGTTGGTAAAAACTGCCAGAATGTAACAAGGAGCCGGGTTAGGCTTGGTACTTAATTCGTCCTTGGGTGAATAGGTGTTGCTCCTCTACCCAAAAATTCTTGGTCAAACCTTAGAAAACGGTTAATCTTAGAAAACACTTAATCTGTTTCCAGTGTGTTGCATGAACAGAGCAGTTCCATTGATCATAAATTAATCACAGTGTTCTCCAGAATCCTCTTTTTCCTTATTCCTTCTCCTTGACTTTTCTTCTCTTTCCTTGTTTGCATAAACATGGATGTTTCCGCTGATCATTCTAATAAAGCCTTTTTTGGCTTATTTTTAATGAAACGTCTAGCGTCGGTGACTTGGCCATCCAGGGTCTTCTCGGCCAGCCACCATAAATTTGCATTATGAGATGTGCCATTTGCAGGGATGCTGTTCTTGCTTTCTGTGCAGGTACCTGGGATAAGTCTGTGGATATGTCTGATTTTGGCCCATCTCACATCATCAACATAAAGAAAGAGAAGAGGGAGACGGATGAAGAGACCAAGAAGATCTTGCGCATGTTGGAGAAAGATGATGTGAGTTTGAGGGTGCCTACCATCCATCAACATTCGAAATAATACGGACTTTATCTTATATTAGGACTCAACTTCTAAGGCATTGGTGGGCACTATTGCTAGCTGGAGTTAAGGGTGTTTATCTTAAATATATGTTCTTTAAAATAAGAATGTTTCAGTTCATTGTAATCTGATTTTAACACAAAATTTGTGGTTTTTACACAAGATGACATTTTTCTGTTAATTTTTTTTTCACCTATAGTTGTTTCTCTATTCCTTTGCGATCTCAGCTTTAAGAATGAAGGGCAGGTTTAGGAAGTTTGTGTCTGTGGAAACATTTATCCACATATTGATACATTGCCAGTTGTTGATGAAATACAGGCTAAACTCTGAGTAAGAGATAACCATGTGCACTTCCTTCGTTTACATAGCATGATATTCCCAGAACAAATGAACTGTTAGGGCTTGAAGTAGAAACGTGCAAATTGTTTAGTCTCAGAACAGTTTTGAGCGCAACATGTCATGAAGTGTTTTACTCTTCGTTGCAAAATAGACCGGTTTGAGCTTTTTGGCAAAATGTTTCAAACAAAGCTTTCTCAAGTTCAGAACATTGTTTTGCATTTACATTTGAGAGATTTTTTGCAAAGCTTTGTGCTTGGAGCAGCATATGCAGCTTGAAGTAAGGGAGCTATTCCCTCAACAAAGTAAGAACTGCATTTCTCACCTGACATTGGATCACAAACTACCTCAACCCTCTTTATTGGTTGGTTGGCTTATTCATTCAATTCAGAGGCTGAGAGATTCCAGACAACTGGCCAGCTTACGTTAAAAAAGTAGGAACGGTTTTTAAAAATCACATATCCTCATTGTCCAAAAAAACAGACTCGTGGGATAGGATGTGAAATAGTCTCCAGGAACGGTTCTCTTCTTTTAACTGCCGTTTTCTCTCTCGTTCTTTGGTCCCAGTTCCTGGATGACCCAGGCTTGAAAAACGACATTCGAAACAAGCCAGTCCAGCTGCCTCTGGCACATTCTGGTTGGCTTTTCAAGGAAGAAGGGGATGATCAAGAGGACAGCAAGCTGTTGAATGCCAGCCATAAAGAGGAGGAGCTGGAGACAGGCTTACCTTCGGTAAAAGGTAGGTGGCTCACCTTGACCTGGAACAGATGAGCGAACGGATAAAGTGGGCATTTGTGCAGCCCTGAAGTTGTACGAGGAACCTGTTCCCTCTTAATTTCTTGCAAGAAGAGAAGAATTGGGGAGTGTACGATGGCAGGGGGTCACTAAGGGACATTTAGTCATTTGGTGTTCTGGTCTTCAGAAGCAGCCCCGTAGCTGCTTTAGAAAATGGGATAAATATATGTTACTCATATCTACAGTGGGTTAAATAGAAACAAAATGTGAAATATGAAATGGGTATATGAATGTTTTTGGAATAAATATAAGACTTATTGTGTAATAGGGAAAGAATACCATGTGGAACCCGATTGGGGGTGGGGGGGAAGAAATATATGCATATAAAATGGTATATAATACTATAATATAATAATACTGTATATTATAATATAATATATAATAGTAAATAGGAGATTATTGTTGTTAATAAAGGAGGTATTAACTAAAAACGGCTATATTGATCCTAGTTTTTTTTTATTTGTTATATATTGGGTTTAAGAGAGTAAAATGGGGAGAATACATAAAATAAAAATAGGTGGCAAGATTGAATTGACAATAAAGGGGATAAATATTGGATAATCTCTCCCTCTTTCTCTTTGTCTTCCCCCCCCCCCCTCCCCCCCCCCCCCCCCCCCCCCCCAGTGAAAGAGGAACACGATGAAGAGGAGACGGCGTGTGCCCAGGCTCCAGCGCCCACCAAAGCCCCTCCTCCCTTCCCTCAGGATGTCTCCCTGGCGGAACTGCTGCCCAGGTTGAGTCTCTCCAAGGAGGAAGAGTTGCTCTTCCTGCAGCTGCCAGATACTCTCCCGGGACAGCCGCCCACACAGGACACTAAGCCGCTGAAAACAGAAGTGCAGAACGAGGATGGGCAGATGATGGTGATAAAACAGGAGAAGACCCAGGTATGAGTGTCCTGCTGGAACAAGCAGCGGGAATCTGCAGGCGCTACTGCAGGGGGTCTCCAGCCTTGGCCACTTGAAGACTTGTGGACTTCTGGGAGTTGAAGTCTGCCAGGCTTCCGGTTGCTAAGGTTGGAGACCCCCCTGGACTAACTAGGAATTAAAAATTCTGCTGCAAGGTATTTCCTTAGCAAGAGACCCTTGTCTTTTTGATCCCACCAGGGGCCAGGAGTTTCTTTGAAAAGGGTGAGGGGGGCAGCCTGTCAAGCCTGAAATTTGACTTATGTGTAACCATTTTATTTAGCTTTTTTACATATTCTTTTTTCTTCCGTTCTCTTTGCTGGTATTAGGAGGGAAGGGTTTCGGACTTGCCACATTCCTAAGGTGGGAATTCCTAAAGCTATGCTGGCTGGGGAATTCTGGGAGTTGGAAGTCCACAAGTCTTCCAAGTTGCCAAGGTTGGAGACCCCTGTGCTACTGCAATGCGCATGGTGTTTGTGGCTGCAAATGGAGATCTGGAAGTCTGCCAGATAGAAGCCAGGATGTTGACATTTCTGTAGAAAAAGACCAGTGGTCTAACTGTTGGTTATATATATTGATTTGGGATGGCAATGCTTGAACCAAGACGTTTTCCCAGAGTTGGGTTTTTATCGGCATAAAGGTAAAGGTTCCCCTCCTCGCGCATACATGCTACTCATTTCCGGCTCTGGGGGTGGTGGTGGTGCTCATCTGCGTTACAAAGCCGAAGAAGAGCCAGCGCTGCCTGAAGACGTCTCCGTGGTCATGTGGCGGTAGGACTCAACGCCTTTGAAGGCGCATGGAACGCTGTTCCCTTCCCACCAAAGGGGTCCCTATTTTTCTACGTGCATTTTTTAAACATGCTTTCAAAGTGCTCGGTTGGCAGAAGCTGGGACAAGTAACGGGAGCTCACTCCATTACGCGACGCTAGGGATTCGAAGCGCCGACCTTTCTGATCGACAAGCTCAGCGTCTTAGCCACTGAGCCCCTTTATGCTTCATTGGCATAATTGTCCTATACTTCGTGGAAGGTGAAGAAGCTTCCAAAAATAACAATTTTGGCTGTTTTGCTTCTATAGCAGGGGCGTCAAACTGATTTCTTTGAGGGCCGGATCAGCATTATAGTTCTCCTCTGCTGGGTGGGTGGGGGCAGAAGGGACAGGTGCCCCTTGCAGCACCCTGCCGGCCAAAACGGGGCACAGGTTTTTGGCTGCCCTCATTTTGGCCCCCAGAGGCACTGCAGACTGGTCCTTTGCTATTTCCAGGCCGGCCCCAAGGGCCAGTTTTGAGCACCCCGCAGGTAGGATCCGGCCCTCGAGCCTTGAGTTGGACACCCTTGTTCTATAGACACCTTTGCATTCAGCTCCAGGCACCAGAAAACAAGGTTGCCATGACGTTTTAAGGGAGAGCAGAGAGGGAGTTTGCAAACGCTCTCACCTTGATTTCTCCCCAGCTCCTAAACTTGCCCACTTCTGCTTCCCCAGGAGACCCAGGAAGCGGAGAATACCTGCACCCTGGGCGACCTCTCCGAGGGGCAAGTGGGGAAGTTGCTGGTCCGCAAGTCAGGAAAGGTGCAACTTGTTCTCGGCCAGGTGACCCTCGACGTAACCATGGGAACGCCCTGCTCCTTTCTTCAGGTACGCCTTGCTCTTGTGGGACGTGGCCTCCCTTCGCAGGCCATTTCAAGCGCAAAGTGGCCGGAGGCTGCGCAACCTGGGAATAGCAGTTGCAAGAAACGGGCAGCTAGAAAAGGGGCCGGAGTGACCCCCTCGTCCCAAACGCTGCCGTCAAACCGCTGTTGAGATGATTTGGAAATGTTCGTGTTCTTAGGGTGGGGGTCTAGGCTTAGGGACTTAATAGCCATTAAGACTGATGGGAGACCCAAAGGTGCTTTTTTCAGGAGGCAACTGGACTCTCTTGTTTTTTTTTCTTTGAAGACATTTCGCTTCTCATCCAAGGAGCTTCTTCAGCTCTAAGGCTGGATGGTGGGGAATGGAAGGGATTTATACTCCTTGCAGACCGCTGGTCATTTGCATCCTTTTAGAGGGTCGTTGAGGCCACTTGGAGATTTATCTGTGTCCTCAGGGTCACCTGAGTGGTGCTAATGGTTCCTGTAGTCTGCAATTTTTGGGAAATTATACTTCCACGCGATTCAAAGGGTGCTCATCCCAAAGAGCATAGCTAAAGGTTTATGGAGGTACCCGGTCATCTAGGTCATGGCTGTCTCAAAGGATATCCTAGAACTCTAGCATAGACTTTTGACTGATGGGAGAATACATTGTATTGTCAAAGCATATCATTAGATTGTCAGAGTTGGAAGGGACCTTGCAGGTCATCTAGTCCAACCCCCCTACACCATTTCTGACTGGTGGCAGTCCAGTCTCTCCCTGAAAGCCTCCAGTGATGAAGCTCCCACAACTTCTGTGGGCAACTTCTGTTCCACCGGGTTGATTGTTCTCACTGTCAGAAAATTTCTTCTTATTTCCAGGTTGAATCTCTCCTTGGTCAGTTTCCATCCATTATCTTAACGGATATACCCAGTTTGGTCCCCTGCTCTTCCAACTGGCACTAGATAGCCCTGACTTTCTCCGCAGGTTTTCCACAAAGCATCTCTTTAAGTCAGTGGTGTCTAACCTTGGCAACTTTTAAGACCGGTGGACAGAGCATAGCTGGCTGGAGAATTCTGGGAGTTGAAGTCCACAGGTCTTAAAGTTGCCAAGTTTGGGGGCCTCTGGTCTAGGTTAAGAAATATTTAAGTCTTACTGGTACAGGAAAGGAGTGAGTAGTTAAGCAAGTATTCTTCTTGTGTGCTTTTTAAAAAAATACCCTGATATTATCAGTCCCGATCTTTCAGCATAGAGCAAGATTTTGTTTTTGTTTTTTCTTGTTTGGCTCCAGCCTCGTTTAAATGACTGGGAATTGTTTGCATTTCTTCTACAGGGGGGGAATTCAGCAGGTAGAGCACCTGGCTGAGACCATCTAATGAGTGGCTTATGCTGACACTCAAAAATCTGTTTCCCAAAATCTGTTTGCTTCCTCAAACCTGCAAAGATTCCTTGATTAGGTCTTGTTGGCTTGCTTTACTTTTTTGGGGGGAAAAAGGGGGCTTTGGACTAATTGTCCTTTTCTCTTGGTCTCGCAAAGGAACTGGTGTCAGTCAGCATTGGGGACAATCGGAGTGGTGAGATGATCGTCTTGGGCCACGTGAAGCACAAGCTCGTTTGTGCTCCCGATTTCGAATCCTTGCTGGCCTACAAGCATCGATAAGAGCCGCTGCAAAGCCCCTCGCCAGGGTAGCTGGTGGTTCTGCCTAAACAAGAGTGATTTGGGCTCTCCAAAAGTGCCTGTTCCTGAGCTGACGAAGACGGAAACGTCGCCAGAAAAAGACTCTGCTAGAAGAGATGGGCAAACATTCATGGGAACGAGCCCGATGGACATCTTAACTGTCGGAGATTATCTGGAGCTCTAGAATCTCTGAAGGTAGGGGAAAGGGTTCGAAGCCAAGGGCTTGCTGCGTCCTTCCTCCCAGTTCCACACAGGATATATGACTTGCCCCCTTGTAATGACTTTGAATGACTTAATTGCGCACACTACCCGGGTGATATTTATCCCAAAGGGAGGTTGGAAAGGTGTGAGCCTTGGAGCCAAGGTTAAAGCTGTTTCGCCGCTCTTCCCTGCAGATGCTGGAGAAGATGTCACCATTCCGAGCATCTGTAGGAGATCGGGCCAGTGGTGCCCTTTTATGTTTTGCCTTCTTGGATCTTAACTACCACACAACACCAGTAGGAAAAAAAAAGGGGGGGTGATGGTGTGAGAGGTTTGGGAAAACACATGAGATTAGACTGTGTCTTCTGCAGTGAGATCCCCCCATATATCTCTTGTTGTCCAGACCAGGGGTCTCCAACCCTGCAAACTTTTAAGCCTGGAGGACTTCAACTCCCAGAATTCCCCAGCCAGCAAAGCTGGCTTAAAGTTGCCAAGGTTGGAGAGCCCTGGTCCAGACCATCTGGTGAAGTTTTTTTTTTTCTTAAGGCTACTTTCATCCTATCTCTGAATAGCCAGGGGGAAAATAATTATCTAGGTGACAAGCTCTGCCATGTCTCGTATTTATAACGCTATGTGTGATAAAAGCAGCAGCAGGAGGCTTCTTTTATAAATGGAGAAGGCAAAGAGGAAGGGTCTCGTGCTTTTAACCTGGCTTTCGTTCCCTCTGCTGGAAGCAGCCAAGCATCGCTGGATCCGTGGTCCTAAGCGAAAGATTCCTGCAGTGGCAGGGGGGACAGGAAGTCATGGATGGCAGTTCCCTTTGTTTCTGAACCAGGAATCAGTTTTGTCATCAGAAAAGCATATTCAGGCCATTATAGCCCAAATCTCTCTCCCCACACTTCCCTCTGTCTCCCTCCCTCCCTCCCTCTCTCTCACACAAATGCCTATTAAATTCAATGGTCTGCTTTAAAACTATTCTTTCTCACTCTGCCTTGGACTCAGGCGTGATGGCAAGAAAGTTGTGATTTGCTTAACTTTGTTCTCTTATCACGCTTTCCTAAAGAGGACAATTAACTGTTTAAATATTTTTAGAGAGCAGCAATTAAAGTATTCATGCTCCTTGGGCTTTTGTTCCTTAACAGCAATTGGGAAATCATAAAGCTGAGCATGCTGATGACTACAAAGATGACTTCTCGGTTAAGTCTTTTTTTGTTTCTCAACTGGGTACCTTTATTTGATCACCTTGGTTAACCAAATTGGAGAGAGCAACAAGTTCTGTGGTCAAGTTGTTGGCATTTATTTATCACCTGTATATCTATAAATAAAAACAGACACTAGAAGGATTCTGTGTGTACAGTCCAAGGAATTTGAATAGGTTTGCACTTTAAAGCTACGAGGTAAGGAAACGGGAAAGACATTTTCACCTCACCTGTCAGTGGACACCCAGGCAGGACAGTAAGATTTGACATAAGCACCTGGGAAACCAGGAGATACAAGCAGTTCAAAGGAGTATAAAGGTTTATTGCAAGCTTAAGCTCTCCATAACATACTGGCCAACTAATGGTCAATGGAAAAGAGCGGGAGATAAGAATTCAAGCTGGGCTGGACTTAGATCTCTTGTGGACATGCAGGAACTCATAACTTATGATGCATTTGACTCCTCCCTCAGTCTCAGCCAGGTTACCACCTACAATATTCCTTATAAAGAGGACAACATAAAACAGCATGTTAACCATGTGCAAATATTAATTAATTGAAAATGACAGTGAACGTGGGGCTCAGTACAAAAGCAGCTTTTGGACGATGGAGCCACAGATATTTTGTGATAATTAGGGGGGGAAGGAGATAAGTGGAGAAGAAAAAAATGTAGATAAGGAGCAGGAACTGTAAGAATCAAACGGTGCCTGTCCCTTCTAGCTGCTTATAAAAAAAAAAAAAACCTTTATTATATGGACATTTTTCTTCTCTATCTTTCAGAATGATTTTTTTTTTAAATCAACAAATGTTTCATTTAATTTGATTACAGAAGGCAATATTAACACAATAGACCACCATGAAACAGAAAAGGCATTGGAATCTAACAAAGCTGGAGAAAACCAAACTGCTTTAATGGAAACCACACTTTGCAATTAATTCAGCAATTATGGCTTAGAGAGAAACCAATGTCCTTTACAGGGTTCCTCTACACCTCTGCTGATATTTTCATTGATATTTGGCAATCAGAACTTTGTCCATGTTTCCTTGAGCGAAGAGCCTTCAAAGGGCAGTGAACAGGGACTGCTCTTTATTATAAGCCAAGGAGAAAAGATCCGGTAAAGTAAGAGCCTTCTTGCCAGCATAGTGGTAGAATTAAGCTATTTCCCCTTACAAAGGCCCATTTATTTCCATTTTAAATTTCCCATCAGCAATAAGCCTTAGCGGATATCCAGAGTAGAAGTAAACAAATTACAAAGCGAGATAGAAGTAAACAAATTGCAAAGCGAGATTATAGGCTGCAAAATAACAGTGTTTTGGGGGGAATCTCTTTATAAATGTTTTCAGAAAGCCTATTAATCAAACAGCTGGCAGCATCAGAAATAGAAAACGAAGCAGTCAGGAATGGATTTGAAAAGTGTTTGTGTACTGTACATGAGTAGGACTAGAAGATCTGTTGAGTAAATCCAGGGTGGCTTCTAGGAAACAAGACCGCTGAGGATGACAGGTGAGCGGATTTGAGACGTTCTTGGAAAGACTCAAATGTGATCCAGTCATTGGTCAGACCTTCCAGAGAGCTAGTGTTGCCCCCAGGAGCTGTAGATGGAAGCTTATTCCGAAGTACTCATTCAAAGATGAAGTTCAAGATTATCAGATCCGAAACATCAGTCCCACTGGACTTGGACAATTCTTAGAAGTGACCAGGATCCACTTCTCCTGCACGCTCTTCAACAGGACGGAAAGAAAAATGTCGTCATCCTTTGCAAGCTGGACTAATAAAAGAGAAGCCCGTAGCTGACATGATGGTAGAAGCTTGTTGCGTATTTATTGGCGTAAATGCTCTTCGATGTACTTTGCTATCTGGAAAGCTTTCAGATTCAGTGTCCCTCCCTGAATTCCCTGCATCCCAATGAGGATTAGGCAGACCGGATTAACCAAGACCACAGCGATGGCATGGGTGCAGTTGTCCTTCTTGTCCCCATGGTAGACCTTGGTTCGGAGGTCCATGGTATGCTGTTGGGCGTCGGTATACAGATTGTCTCGTATGACCAAACATTTGTGGCCACCCAGAGTCAAACCCTGAGTGAGGAGTATGTTTCTGTTCCTACCAAGGAGAGCTTGGATTTCTGGTTTGGTCATTCTGGACAAGATGCCGCCTTGGTGGGCCCTTAAGACCTGCTGTTGTGTTATAGAGATAACTGCAGCATCGCAGCACAGCCCATCTCTCATGAAATTGTTGAGACACCCTTGCCAAGATGGCATTTGGTGATTCGGGGAGTGTTGCATTTAAAGGCAGCTTGTGTAACTACTTTGGAAAAACCCAGGTCTTATTTTTAGAGTAGGCCAATTTTGCTCTTCTGGAACCTGAAGGTTGGTTGGTTGGATGGTTGGTTGGTTGGTTGGTTGGTTGAAAACCTTATTTTCTCTTTTGTCACTCAATATACCTGACCCTAAGATGAAGAAATATTTGAGGCTAAAACAAGATAATGGCTGCTTACTGTATCTACTTCCATGCACTGTTGGTGGACATATCCCAAAAATAACTTGCAATCAAGTTTTAGGACCCAAAACCCCTCAGCAGGCACTTGATCTTTCCCAGGGTTGTCTTGGATACAACTGTTTAGCGTTCTTTCACAGGCCGCAAGCTGTTCGTTCTAGAACCCTGACAGCACTACCTGCGTGTCCTGTGATATCACAATGCATGTTTTCCTGGAGGAAAGGGTGCATATCCCATCATACTTTTAACTAACAATCATAGTTTTTGTTTGTGTCTGCATCTGATAGTGTATGAGTTACAGAATTCTTTCGAATCAGAAGACAGGCTCGATACCGGTTTCCTCAAAATACAATTCACGGGTATTGGAATCGTGATTATTGCGGCTCCCACATCAAGGCTACGAAGTTCCCAATTGCCTATTAATTGCTAGTGTTGAGATTTTAAACTGAAGTTGATTTATTGTTCAATTTTTTTTATTTAATATAGGCCATCCAGAGTTGCATTCTTCAAGATGGGTGACCCCATAAGTTTCATAAATAAATAAATATTTGGGCGGGCAGGCATTTCTAAAAGATTTTTTTTCTGGACCAAGTTCTACCCTGCAGCATGTTACAACCACAAGTTCCCCAGCCAGTTTCTTAATCTAGAATCTAGGATTGCTTCTACGATGGTCCCGAAAGGGCTTTTTCAGGAGGCAACTGGACTTTCTTGTTTTTTTTCTCTGAAGATGTTTTGCTTCTTATCCAAGAAGCTTCTTCAGCTCTGACAAGATGGTGGGAAATGGAAGCATTTATATTCCTTGCTGGCAGCTGGTCATTTGCATCCTTTTAGAGGGTAGTTGAAGCACTTGGAGGTTTATCTGTGTCCTCAGGGTCACCTGAGTGGTACAAATGGTTCCTGTAGTCTGCTATTTTTTTCTTTGGAAATCCATTCCCCACACCATTCCATGGCTGTTCATCCCAAATTGTATAGCTAAAAGTCTATGGAGATTTCTCAGTCATCCAGGTCATCGTTGTCCCAAAGATGCTTTTGCAACTGGAGGAAACTGGACTTGCTGTTTTTTTTTTCTTTTGAAAACATTTCATATCTCATCCAAGAAGCTTCTTCAAA